GGCCTCATCATGCTGATCACGGTTAAAGGTACGTCCTTATAACGTCATGGTCACTAATGTTACGTCCCTGCTGAAGCGTAGATAGTAGGTATGTAGCATATCTTTAACGTATCTTGCATCTTTATTAAGGTACGTTGCGTGGTTGATGCACGATGAACAAGTGTACTTTGTACTTCCGTAGCGTGAATTATGCGAGAACATTCGTTCAATATTACATTTGTATATCCAATAAAATATCCTTATGCGAGAACGTACTTTAAATATTACTTTTGTATATACTATAAATATCCTTATTTGCACAGCACCCTGGATGATGGCCGTCTCTCGCTCAACCCACAAGAAATATTTCTACAACACCATCACCAAAGCTGCAGAATTTGAAATTTCTGATGAAAAAACGGCGGATTTCGCGTGAGTTATAGTTTTTGGCTTTATTATCCCTAAAACTTTTCATTTTTCGTGAATTTTTAGAATATTTCATATCATTTCATTTTCCATTTCATTTCATTTTTCGTGTATATTTAGAATATTTCATTTTTCATTTCATTTATTTTATTTCATTACATTTTTCGTGAATATTTGTAATAACTTGAACATTGCCTCATCCATTAAATGATCATGTAATATAATATTTTAAAGCTACATTAGTGTTCAGTTCAATTCACGTTGCTTAACAAGACGGAAATGTTTTGAAATATTCCATTTCGTACATTTGATAGCAATGACCAGCACCTCATATGATTAAGTCTATTGAAATTTATTCCTATTTTAGAAATTCGTGAATTATGATGTTTATTTCTTCAGCACTTACTAAAAGGTTTTCTAGATGACATATTCTATTTTATTATCTATTTGGCTGAAATTGGTAGCTTTTTTACTTATTATTGAGCATTTCCAAGTACTATAGACTATATGATGGTCGCTTTCTTTTCCAGTTATAAGCGATCGGAAGTTTTTTTTATACTTAATCTGAAATGCATTTTTGATTAAAATGCTTCAGATCTAATTATATATTATGTTTACAGATGCACAATGAGCGGGTCGCTGTTATGGCGCTGGCGACCAGGCACGATCATCCTGGGCAACGACCGCAACATCGGCTGCGATTTTCTCGACAGCGACGACGAAGAAAAAGATCAAACCCCAAAACTGATGTCGCTAGCAAACTTCTCAGAATTCCTCGACAATGGTCCACCCAAACAAAATTAATGCCTTGCCGTAATCTTTTATACTCTCTTAACCACATACGTTAGTTTAGGAATACTTTGATAGCGTATTAGTAATGCCTGGTGCGTGCGTTAGTATCTTTATTGAAGAATGTATATTATTTATGTAAAGTCATTGTCAGGCTCAGTCATACAGCAGTCATGCTGCTGGGAGTGTGATCATGAATGTTGTTACATAGCGTCATGTATAGTTACATAGCATTTTGTAATGTTACATCACTTCATGTATAGTTACATAGCATTTTGTAATGTTACATCACATCATGTATAGCACATAACGTTATGTATAGTTACATAACATTATGTATAGTTACATAACATTATGTATAATTCAGAGCCTTGCATGAGGTTCTACTCGTTACTTAACAGTACTTGTTAGCTGCAACGAGATTACTTACTGTAATGTTTGCACATGCCGTGCATCTTGCAAATTGATTGCATAGGTTTCTACCAATGAATGGGTGATAGCTGTCCATTGAATGGATGATAGTTGTCCATTGAATGGGTGATAGTTGTCCATTGAATGGATGATATTTGTCCATTGAATGGTGTCCATTGAATGGGTGATAGTTGTCCATTGAATGGGTGATAGTTGTCCATTAACAATTATGACCGAGAACAAGTTTTTTCTCCCGAAAGAAATAGTCTTGACTGTACGACCGCGCTCTCATCGTACCAAATTTAATAATTTTAAATTAATTTAGGTTCTTCCTTCCGTTGCGCTACATCTATTTATTTGTATCAATATCAGGAGACTCGATGATTTTACCTAATTTTATACCTGTTCGTTGTTAATTTAGGTTTGCTCGAGTGTGATATTCATTTAGAGGTTCGGATTATGCAGGAGAATGACATGCCTGAATCTTTGATTCAGGCAGTCAGTTATCCCTTTATTCAGGCAGTCAGCTGTCCAGTTATTCAGGCAGGCAGCTGTCCCGTTATTCATTCAGTCAGCTGTCCCGTTAGTACACTGACTACACTATACATTACAATAAGTAATTAGGTTAATGTTGTACCTGTTGTTCGTTATTCAGGCAGTCAGCTGTCCCGTTATACAGGTATTCAGCAGGTCTCGAGTGCCCATCTGGATGATTTTATACATATACTGTCCTTTTTTGATGAATATAACCGAGCTTTTCACTCGCTTAATGTAAATGCTCAGTTATTCTCCTGCCAGGAATTACTGCGTGACTTTTGAATGTTGCTTTTTTCGAACCGTCAACTTTTTTTCACAAAGTTACCGTTTTTGCGTGACTTTTGAACGTCGCTGAACCTAACTTGTAGTCAAAGGATCTGAGTCAGAACTTTGCATTTGGCAATAAAAAAACTAAGTTTTATTTTAAACTTTGTTGAAGGTAATAAGTCTTAAGTTGCGCTGTTGAACAACTCAAGTTGCCGCGGCAGAGCATAAATTCAACAAGCATAAATGTATGGAATGATCACATGGTTGTCGATAAGTTAAGCATCTATTGCATGTTATTGCTTCTCTTTGAATTTAAAAAGTGCGCCGGATTTACACTGTCAAATGAAGATAAAATTGTGCACGCAATGGTGACACGGACTCATTCCTACCTTTTATACGCCACGTAGGAGTATTGAACTTCCTTCGTATCATTAGTGTAGGAACTATATTGAACACATATTGAACTTAATACGTATCATTAATGTAGACATTCTAGTATGTATTTATGACCTTGACTGCTGTTTGTCTGATCAATGCCAACGTCTGGCACTAATTTTTATTTTACATGCGGAAACAGTTCGTAATTTTGTTGTTTATCTTTAATATGGAAATCCCGAGCTGTGCTCTTACAGGGGTGGCGGGGAGCTAGGTCCACTCTCTGCTGTGGGTAAGAAAGTGTGTCATTATTTTGACATTATGACTCATTTATTTTACTGAGTGTAAGCCTTATTATAGGAACCCTTTGTTGTTGATTTCTTGTTTTGATAGGAAAAACCCCTTCGTATTATTACAAGTGCACTGATGTTTTTTAAAAACTACTATTGATCAAAGACACTTAATATCAGGTAAACGATTCGTGTACAAAGTAAAATTGTTTATTGATTTAATGAGGAAAAGATATTTCAGTAAGAAATTCCTTTTTTTTTTTCAAACGCCCAATGACGCGCTCTCCTGAGGCGCTCTTATATTGAGTGAGACAATCTCTTGTTTATTCGCTATTGTGTACAATAAAAACGTTGAACGTTCAGCCCATGCAGCTTGCTTTATTTTCTTGCTATTGTCGTGGCAACATCGTACAGCTGTTACTGCTACTGCAGCTGTTGTTACTGCTACTGCAGCTGCTGTTACTGCTACTGCAGCTGATGTTACTGCTACTGCAGCTGTTGTTACTGCTACTGCAGCTGCTGTTACTGCTACTGTTACTGCTACTGCAGCTGCTGTTACTGCTACTGTTGCTGCTGCTGCAGCTGCTGTTACTGCTACTGTTGCTGCTGCTGCAGCTGCTGTTACTGCTACTGTTGCTGCTACTGCAGCTGCTGTTACTGCTACTGCAGCTGCTGTTACTGCTACTGTTGCTGCTGCTGCAGCTGCTGTTACTGCTACTGTTGCTGCTGCTGCAGCTGCTGTTACTGCTACTGCAGCTGCTGTTACTGCTACTGTTGCTGCTGCTGCAGCTGCTGTTACTGCTACTGTTGCTGCTGCTGCAGCTGCTGTTACTGCTACTGTTGCTGCTGCTGCAGCTGCTGTTACTGCTACTGCAGCTGCTGTTACTGCTACTGTTGCTGCTGCTGCAGCTGCTGTTACTGCTACTGTTGCTGCTGCTGCAGCTGCTGTTACTGCTACTGTTGCTGCTGCTGCAGCTGCTGTTACTGCTACTGCAGCTGCTGTTACTGCTACTGTTGCTGCTGCTGCAGCTGCTGTTACTGCTACTGTTGCTGCTGCTGCAGCTGCTGTTACTGCTACTGTTGCTGCTGCTGCAGCTGCTGTTACTGCTACTGCAGCTGCTGTTACTGCTACTGTTGCTGCTGCTGCAGCTGCTGTTACTGCTACTGTTGCTGCTGCTGCAGCTGCTGTTACTGCTACTGTTGCTGCTGCTGCAGCTGCTGTTACTGCTACTGCAGCTGCTGTTACTGCTACTGTTGCTGCTGCTGCAGCTGCTGTTACTGCTACTGTTGCTGCTGCTGCAGCTGCTGTTACTGCTACTGCAGCTGCTGTTACTGCTACTGTTACTGCTACTGCAGCTGATGTTACTGCTACTACAGCTGTTGTTACTGCTACTGCAGCTGCTGTTACTGCTACTGCAGCTGATGTTACTGCTACTGTTGCTGCTGCTGCAGCTGCTGTTACTGCTACTGCAGCTGATGTTACTGCTACTGTTGCTGCTGCTGCAGCTTCTGCTGCTGCTGTTACTGCTACTGTTGCTGCTGCTGCAGCTTCTGCTGCTGCTGCTGTTTATTGTAACACGACACGAGCGGCTTCCTTACAGTTCGAGTTGCTGAAACATTGCTTTCAACCTTCTGTTGTTGCAATGTCGTGTGCTGCAATATTGCAATAACATGTGCTTCATCAATGTGATTCATCGATTATTTGTATTTCAACTAGTTGAATTGTTAGAGTTTTGTAGTTCCAGCTTACGTCTTTTTCATCTCACAGGAAGTTTTGCGTGGTGTGCAGCGCTAAAGTTTAGCTTTATAATAGCGGTTTCAGTGTTTATTAGGCCGTAGTTTTGTCGCCGATTCTTAACATCGCAGAACATTCACAGCATGTTGCGGTCTCGAACTCGCAACTCACTGCTACAATTCTGCTGTGCTTAACCGCCCGGCCTCCTCGCCGATTCTGACCAGAAACTGGCGCACAGAGCTGGGATCGAACCAGCGCCTCTCTGCACTAATCTTGGTTATGGCTGTGTTGGGCTTAATACATAAACTGTAAGCAGATGCACCTTTATTTTAGAAATTGATCCGGAGAAGAAACTCCAAAAGCTTGATAAAGCTGACGATTCACAGAAAATTAAAAAAAAGAACCAAGTTCCGAAAAATAAAGCTTGCTCGCGAGTTCAATGCTGGCTCGACGTTATACAGACGAATAAACCCGGCCCAACATAATTAGAATTAATAAATAACGTTTAAATTTACAATTCGGTAAAACAGTATTATTGTTTCAGTGTAGCAAATAGATTCGATGAATTCACGCATATGAACAAGAAATTTACACTCCCTGAACATCCAGAAGGATTTGAATTGTAAACCATGTGTATAGCAGAGGGTATACCAAAAGATCGAACGATGAGTCCCACACGATTCGCTGTTATTCTATCGAACAAAAAAAAATGTAGCTGAGAATATATTGGAATAATAATGTAAGCTTTACGAGCCTAAATTTATGCCGCACTATATCACAAAAGCTACAGCCCTGCACCCACCATAAAATCTTGTGCCAGCAAGCGGAAGCTGTAATTTCAAGAGGCAATTTAAAGGGAAATATTGAAAGTGAAAGAAAGGGGCAGCAGACTCCAAAATTAACCAGTAACTTTAGCATAGGAAAGAACCAAGCTTTCCCAAAAAGTTCAGGACAAATATTAATGTCATTATAGTAAAGAGCCGAAGCTCGATAGTCAAGGTCAAGTGCGATCAATCAAACTTAAATAATGAAATTATGAAGGAATGACCTCACACTCCTGCCGGAACAAAATTAAATAAATCTTTTCACCACCAAGTCTCAAGCCTACCAAAACTTTTTACAAACCCATACCTAACAATAATTATGGCGAAAAAGAACTCAAAATTTACAACTTTAGAAATTCGGTAATTTCCAACAGCGGACAACCCGCGTCTACGCACGCAATTGTAGCGCCACGTTGAAGCAACGTTTAGATCTGCAGCAAACAGCTTAGTGGCCTACGCTTCAGGTAGCTAATGTTGCTAGCTACGCCGTGGCGTCATGCCATTGTTGCACGCCGTGGCGTCATGCCATTGTTGCACGCCGTGGCGTCATGCCATTGTTGCACACCGTGGCGTCATGCCATTGATGCACTCCGTGGCGTCTTCATGCCATTGTTGCACTCCGCGGCGTCATGCCCTTGTTGCACGCCGTGGCGTCATGCCATTGTTACACTCCGTGGCGTCATGCCATTGTTGCACGCCGTGGCGTCATGCCATTGTTGCACGCCGTGGCGTCATGCCATTGTTGCACTCCGTGGCGTCATGCCATTTTTGTACTCCGTGGCGTCATGCCATTGTTGCACTCCGTGGCGTCGTGCCATTGTTGCACGCCGCGGCGTCATGCCATTGTTGCACGCCGTGGCGTCATGCCATTGTTGCACGCCGTGGCGTCATGCCATTGTTGCACTCCGTGGCGTCATGCCATTGTTGCACGCCGTGGCGTCATGCCATTTTTGCACTCCGTGGCGTCATGCCATTTTTGCACCCCGTGGCGTCATGCCATTGTTGCACTCCGTGGCATCGTGCCATTGTTGCACGCCGCGGCGTCATGCCATTGTTGCACTCCGTGGCGTCATGCCATTGTTGCACTCCGTGGCGTCGTGCCATTGTTGCACGCCGTGGCGTCATGCCATTGTTGCAC